AAAATAAAATATGGAAAAAATCTGTTTGACATTGCCATTTTTATTTCATTAAGTAGAAAATGGAAGAATTACTTTATATCCATAAATTTTTCAGGGTTTTCCCACCTTCCCCCTTGAAGTTTGCGTTTATTGCAAACACTCCTGCAACGTTTAAAAGTGCATTGATATTTCTCTCATAAACAGGATAATTCCGACAGACTGCCATGTAGAGGATTTTATAGGAGTATTGAATTTCTTTATTCAGTTTTAAATTGTGTGAAGACAAATGTTGACACTGTCTGGCAAGCTTTGACCAGGGCCCCTGGTGAGCCATTAAACTCAGTCACCTTCTGTATTGCTTTAAGCTCAACAATTCTGTGTTGTCTCTAAAAGCACAGACTGGTGCCGTGTCATCTGTAACACATCAAATAGTGGAACAACTATCCCAAGAAGAAATGCCCAGATTATGTACATTTCGTGAAAGTCTAAAACAAGACTTTTCTCTGATAGGACTTTTTGTACAGCTTTGACGTTCCTTGTTTTATGAGTACATGGCTAGGAATAATTTTTGTATGGATAAAAATTAATCAAGCATCATTTGTGGAGCAAAAGCTAAGGTGAATAAATCTAGTTTTTAAGTTAATGAACTTTTTAAGAAGAAAAATCAAAGTACTGGAAGTATTAAATGCCTTACTGTCACTACCCCTCCTTCTCCCCCCCCCCCCCCCCCCTTTTTTTCCCCTTACAATTTACAATATTGATGAAAGTAATTATTGCATTATCATTGTTATTGTCCCTTTCAATGTCAAACAAATATATTTATTTGCAAAAATACATATTTAAACTTGAAATTAATGAGGGTTTTTTTAGTAGCTAAAAATGAGAGCAATAACTGTATTTTATTGAAAACTTCGTTCAATATCTTTATGCAATTTTTACTGTATCAAACTCTTGAAAAATCAATAGTGAAAAAGAAAAAGATCTGATACTAATTAAAAAAAAAATCAATTTTCAAAGGAAGAAATGATCACATTTCAAATAAATCAACACAGGTCTTCTCTTTCACCAATTCCTTTGAAAATCTTTGAACAAAATATCAGTCACATCAAAAATGATAATTATATCTATAATGTCATTCATACTCATCCCACATTTTTGTCTGTATGCAGTGTCGTCAACATCAGAGGCTGGTGTATCAAAAGCAAATTTGTTTTTGTTTTACATCTAAGTTGATAAAATACAGACAAAATCCAACTAAACAAAGCTCAAGCTTAATACATAAGAATATGAGTAATATCTTCTCAAGTGATATATGTATATATAAAAAATCACCAATCACAATGAAGCATATCAGTGATAACCTGTTGTTGTCAAACAATACAACCAATCAAAAAACAGCTACTATTAAAATATATCAATTTTATTTATATCAACCAATCAAACCAGTTCTGGCATGCTGAAGTTTTGGGTCACTGACTTGGCCTTCATTTGCAGAGCCCCCATGAGGAGAGTTTTAACAAGGGAGATTGTAACAGTCGATCTGCAAAAACTAGCGAGATTTCTGATGATGTTTTTATCCCCCTCTTGCTCTTGTTCTTGTACACGGTGCCGTGAGAGGAAAGAAGGTATTAAAAAAGGGTCTCTACAGGGTTAAGCGGAGTTCAAAGTTCATAGTGCACGCACAATAGATGTAGCATGTGTCAAGGCCAGCAAAAGCAATTTCTTTTTCAAATACTTTTTAATCAAAGTTTAGGATTTTTTTGTCTTTTTTTCATTGAAATGTGAATGCAAATGTTATATTTTCAGTAGAAAGCAGCAAAACTAATATAACTAAAAGGGTAAAAAGCTTTGCAAATTGACTGGCCATATCTACAGAGAGGTCAAAGGTGAAAGGTCAGGCAGATTTTTAAAGTCATTTTTTGCAATTAAAGTTCATGTCATACATGTCAAGTAAAGGAAAAGGCTTTACTATATATTTCATTTTATTTTCCATTCTTTCATTTTTTAATATAAACAGTATCAAAAAATCATTACAAAACAAATCAGTGAAGAATTCCATGACAAAATTATCAGGCATGTACCACCTTAAGAGCGGGTTGAATTTTTGAAGTAGTTTATATTATTCAATTTCAAATCAATGGAGCAAAGAAAAGTTAACTTTTTATGTGCTTTGATACATCTTAAGTTTTTATTAATGCTGGACAGTGAAATTACAATTTTTTTTTCAAACAATGAACTTGACATGTATGATGACTGAATTGTGTGTTTTCTAAATCTATAGCTTGTAGCATTAAAGCTCTTGGGACTGCTAATAACCAAAGAAAGAAAATTGAAAAAAAGGAAAAAGAAGAAACAAAATTATCAGATTTTTGTGCCTTTTTTCCGAGGTAGAATAGTAGTGAATTAAAGAGATAGGAAGGGTTTAAAGGTCAAGTCTATAAGGTTCTAAAGATAACCCTGACCCAATTTACAGTGTTAAAAGTGATTCATCAAAATCATTCTGCATAGCAAAGTGTGATCATGCCAAAGCATTGCTAAGAGAAGAATTCTCTTTACTGCCAAATAAATATTTCATTTTTTGCCAACTTTGGGCATTTTAAGAGAGGTGAATTTGACATATCAATCAAATATGACAGTTTGTGAAAAAAATGATGGAAATACCAAATGCAATGCAATGGCAAAGACCACAAAGATCAAATAATCAAAACTAAAAATATTACGATTCTAATACAAAGTCAAACTACAAAAAGCAAAAAGAAGGAATACAAGAAATTAGCATTATGCATTGGAAAACAGTGACTATTGGGATAAGACTAATTAACAAGCAGATGGAAAACCACAATGTGAAGATGCAAATCATTCAGCCAAAATTGTCCATTACTTTCCCATTCCAAAACAGTCAATTAGATGTGTTACAGAGAAATCAGAATTGTGTTTACATCTTCACACTAGTACAGACATGGAAGATCTTATCAAAATCAGAGGCTGTGTGCTTTCATCAATCACATTTTATCTTCTTTTTTTTTTTTATATCCAGAGTTTCACGATCAAATATTTCTTATGCAATTAAGTTGTTTCAGGTTATGAAATATGATTTTTTTTTAATTTAACATCATGTTATACTTTTGTAGAAATTTCAATATAATATTTTGAAAAAAATTTCTGCATTTTGCACAAGAATTGATTTAAGATTGGTAGCACCATTGTAAGGTTCTATAACTCTGATTTTAACAAGGGGAGATAAGCCTACCAGAGCTTGTGCTGCAGAGGAGTTAGCTCTTTGTTGTGCTGCTTTGATCTGGGCCTGTAAGTGAGGGGGTGGGTGGAAATATTTACACGAATCTCGTGTACACTTCCCCTTAATAAAGTCCATACAAACTGTAACCTGGTTCTCGCACGTCTCGACTGTTACATTATCTGGGGGGTGTGCATAGCGACATTCGCTTGGCTGTCGCGTGCAAGACCCTCTCTGAAACTCTCGACATACCTGCAAAAGCATTCAAAAAAGGCCAAAACAATATTGTTAGCAACTACTGGTCAAGTTCCTTCTTTCTATTTTCTTTCTCCAACAACAGCCCGCATTTGTCTAAACCCCTTCATTTTCTTTTTACATTACATTTAACATAATAAACAAAGCAAATAGCAAGCGTATCCAGGATCAAGATTATGAATCTTATATTTTTTCAGGAACTCTTCTGCTTGAAGATAAAAAGACTGGCAGAAACCATGGAGAAAAGAGAGAAGACAAATGAAGGGGTTCAAACTTATGTAAGCATACACAATCCATCACGAAAAAAAATGTTGGCAATCATTTTGCGAATTTTGAAATGTAAGAGCAGGATTATATCATTGGCAATAGCAGAAAATTTTTACCTCGCATCTAACCCCAACTACATCTGAAAGAACTACAGAAAATGAAATCACACCAGAAACCTTAGACAAAAACAGCAGACGGACCATAAAAGGGGGCTATTCTGTCAGGATCATTCCCAAGACTAATTCCATCTCCTCCTCCAAAAAAGTCACATTAGTAATAAAATAATACTTATCAGCATACAAAAAGATTTCTACTTGGAAAAGACAAGAAAATGATTTTCAAATGTGTTCCTTAATTCATGAACATTGATTATAACAATATTTTTTTTCTTGCAACAAATTTTATAACAAATGTAAACACTTGAATCATAATTTTCGAGTCAAAATGAAATTAAAATTTTTGTTTAAAGTGATTTAACTTGTTTATCTGTTCTCATTTAAGCAGTCTTTCCAACAAGTTTCTCATGTAACTTTTTTCCTTTTTGGAGATATAGTTAGTCTACAAATGACCCTAAACATGTTGCCCTGTTAAACACTACAGTTCTGGAAGCTTTAGAGGTGAATAGCTTGAAAGTGAGCAGCAACTAAACTGGTGCCCTCTAGGTATATGTGTTAATTCTACAGTTAAGCCTCAGAAAATTGTCTTAAAAAATACATAGTTTGGGAAGTACCAATGGAAAATGAAAGTAAGATTAGGAAAATGTGCTATAATATAGAATTGTCCTCATCAGCACCGTTAAAGAGATCGAAACGTGGGGTGAAAATATATCACATGGCAAAGGCCGAAGTCAGTTTTCTAGGAGATTAAATAAAAGAAATGTACAGTGGATACATTGCGAGGTAGATAAATCTGTTTGGCTAATTCTGATTGTCAATGGTAGAGATCAGGCATTATTTGGAGGATTGCATTTCTTTGGTATGCTACTATGTGATACACTGGGTGTACAGGGGGTCACTTGCAATGTATAGAGGTCATTAAAGGTCATATACTATTTAAAAATGTAGATACAGTCTATACCAATCATATACTAAAATAGCAGTACGATACTAGACATGCTGTCTTTGTATTTTGAACCTTTATCACTTAATTCTCCATCAGCTCATCAGCTTTCCATGAATTCTTTAATTATATATTTTGCAGTTGTTGTACATGTTTCCGATATAAATAATTATCGTAAAAAATCATCCTCCAACCCATAAAAAATAAACAACTATCCTCAAAATACAAAGCATAGTAAACACAAAAACTGCCCTAAATTGTACACAAATAACACATCAATTTTGATTGGTCAATCAGCATTGACCAATCATCTCACCTCTAATCTGTCTGGCCGGGTAATTTTATTCTGGGCTATAGAAGTTGCAGCCTGGATAACACCAGAGATTGGCTGGGAGGCGGACTCACTGACGGAGGGCGGAGTCACGGATACCGTCTGCATCCCTACGTATGGATTATAGGAGATGGATGTTGGATTGGGAACGGATCCGGCAAGATATGGGTGTCCCTATATATACAAAAATTATTATGCTGAATTAAACCATAAGTTTGGATACATTTTTTACTATTATGAACTTATGAAAAACAAGTTTTTAATTTCAATATTTAATAAACAATCAATATTTAAACTTTAATAGAAATGTGCAAATTAAAATTGAGTGCTCTTATCAAAATGGCTACAGTGACACATTTTCAAAGCTTTAAGCATGACTTTAAACATGAATAAATACAATTGTAAATGAAGTCAAACACAAGAGCTCGTGTAATCTAGAACAATTTAATATACAAAAACATAAGATGCCAAAAGCACACATCTTTACAGAAAACCTTCAAAAAAAGTTGCATGAAGTTTAAAAATTTCCCAAGTAAGACAAAGTGCTATAACTGGTTGGACATCTCTCCTCCACAATCAAGTTACAGGTATAAAAGGGCAATTATGAGAGAAAAAAAATAACTATAATTCTTGTTTATAAATATTAGATGATGAGTCATACATAACCACTGTATTTTTCATTCAAATTTTCAAAATATTGTCATTCATCGTATTTCTCTGCACTTAAAAGTACCACCCTAGACAAGTGAAAATTATAAATATCCACAAAAGGCTCACAAGTGTGTGTTTTTTAATTTCCTGACAAGAAGATCGTAAAGTAATTACTTTAAGGGAGGAAACCTACAAATTATAACATCTTCTGAAGGAAGGAAATGGCGGCTTTTTGTTTATATCCTTTATGGCAGGATTGCAAGACACATGTTAATCCAACTACATTGATTTTGTCATTTCATTGTTTTGACTGGAAGCTTTCTCTACCAGATAAATTGCCCGATTTCTTTAGGGAATTTGTAACATCTCTATTTAGGGCATTTGAAACATTTCTATATATCTCTTTTAATTAAAAAATTCTCATGGCCATCTTCCAACCATAATCTGTCATAGACTGAATTTCCACACTGGAACATCTCCCTTTCCTTAAATATCTTTCATTTTTGTAAAATATATCATCATCTGCTCGAAGGTTTTTTTCCTTTTTTAAAATGACAGATTGGAGAGAAAACATTCATGGTTATTGCATAATCTCCAATATCCTTTCTTGCTGGGCCCCTATAGTTATTTTTTAATTAACTTGTCTCAAACATTTCACAAAGAAACTTGCCTTATGAATCTGGAGTGTAAGCCAGGGACATGATAAAGAATAGAGGCAAACTTTTCTACCAGATTCTCATTTTTTTTTTGTTTTTGACTTTTTTTTATACTCATGAAAAAATGGTAACCATGGTTTTTCTCAGCTAAATAATAAAAAAAAAATTCTTCCAACAAGAGCCTGAAAGATTACAATTATAAAGCACTGCTTTGTACGAATACAAGAAGCAAATTTAAATCTAAAAGGATACTGCAGCGATGCAATGTTTATTTTTTTTCTTCTAAAGATGGAATTGAATATGATTTAAAAGCTTGCTTTGAACAAAAGCAAGAACAGGAAATAGTACTTGCATTTGTGAGGACCCCCCCAGACCATCCGTAAGCTCTGTCTGGTATCTGAAACAGCCAAGAATTGATCTCGTAATTATAGAAAATTCAAAAGAAGCCAAGTAAAAAGAAAAATAAATAAATAAAAAAGAAAATAATTAAAAAATAAAAATGACAAAGTCCAAGTTAATTAAGCCTCTTAATCGCTGGATGATGTGAGAAGTGTGTTGCAAAAAGCATGAACATCCTTCTTCTTTTTTTGAGGCCATTAGTTCTGTTAACTTTAATTTGGTTTATATTCAAATTTCCTTGAAAATTAATTTTGAAGAACAGCTAATAAAAGTTGTTAGTGTTTTCTGGAAAAAAAAATACTGGTCAATAAAATTATCAAATTGAATGATAATGCAATCTGATATTCAGATCTTGGAGAAACTCCCATGAAAGTAAACTGACTCAATTTGGAAAGAATAATGCTATATACAAAATATATAGATATTAAATTTAAATATAAGGCAAATGTGATATATGAAAGTATGAGAAATTTCAGAGTGCATAAATATACTTTATAATTATACAAATAGATTACATGAAACAGGGTATATAACTCTGTTAATCATGATTAAAATAAGCTGAAAATAAACTGCACCATACATCATTAAGCAATGAAAGCATACAAACCATCTACAAACTACACAAAGGGTCAGTTGCTAATATGGTACATGTATAAGCTTATATATAGTTCTTAAATCAGGACTTTTGTTGCTTTTTCTTCAAAGTAACCACTCCCTAATTTTAGAACATTTTCTACAAATTTGCTAATTAATTAATATAAAAATTATGGGCAATTGATGAAAATCGATCATGCTGATCATGCACTAAGCAGTGGTCTAAACTTCGTGTGAATTTAATTTCCTAAGAAAAAGATACCAATCACCACTTTGATTTAGGTTAATACTTTTAGTTCCATAACAAAACTGATAACATTCAATCATCCCCCCCCCTCCCCCATATGTTCCTCTCTCTGACACATCTGCTCCTTTTTTATGCTTTGCGAATTAAGGTTCATCAAAACCACTATTCACTCATATAAAATTTTGTTTAACACTAATGACTGTCTAAAAGAAATCTATTTATGATAAAAATACTCACAAATTAAGCTTATACTTGCAGGACAAAATTTGAGAGAAATAGGCTTTTAACTTGAAAATTCATTAAAGGAATAGTCATTTATTTCAATGAGAGTTACATCTCTTGTCAAAGAGTCAAAGAACCTTAAGTATTGCTCTTAGTCTTCTTAACACCCCCTCCTAATTCTGCTCAAGCTTTCACAATTTTTCCCTGTACCTAAAGCAACATAAGTCAGAGAGCTGTGCCTGGATGACAAAGAGAAAGGTAAAATCAGTGTTTACCATGACGGTGGGCAGCTGCCCTGTAGGGTAGAGGGCGGGCAAGGCAGCCAAAGATCCCTTACTGGTTGGTGAGGCCTCAGAACAGAAAGAAAACATGCAAAAAAACCAATTAGTATCCATGTCAAACTGGTGCAAAAAACATAAACAAACCAATCATAGCTCTTGTTAGAAAATGATGAGAATAATGTAACAAGAGCTGCGATTGGCTGAGGTTCCAGTTTTTAAAAAGTTATAATGCCATTATGGATGTGATAATGAAATGAACCAATCACAGCTTTTGTTATATTTCAAAAAAAAAAAAAAATCAAAATCAAACATTGTCAGCGCCATCTAGCAATAATATATACATATAAAATACATACAAATTTGAATATTAAATTTATACAAAAGAGAGCCAAAAAAGAGTGTACACAAATCATGGAGTTAATTATTAAGATTGGCAAGCGATATGGAAGAAACAAATGGCTTCTACTGGAATACAAATCTAGCAGGCGAGATCACCGAAACACACCATTTAGAAATTGTTCTTTATCTTTCATGCTTGCAAAGTTACTTAATGGCTTTTATCCATTTTCAAGACATTCAGAATTTTTCGTTACAAGTATTTTCTTAAATCAGAAAAAGTCTTGCTTCAAAATAAGAAGTGAATTAAACATGCATGGATATGGTTCAGTGAGTTGCCAGTGTTTTCCCATCTATCATAAACAATTAGCAATTAATTCAAAGAAAATAATGAAAAAATGAATAATCAACATCTCTGAAATATTTGCAAGCAAAAGTCTGCAAGCTAAGTTTGCTCATTTAAATGCAAATTTATCAAGATGTGTCAAGTCAATTTGTGCATATATGCATTCTGATAATGCTCTTCTGAGAAGAGAAAATGTTTTTCTTCCAAGTTTGTCCACAAAAATGGATCTCATAAGTTAATTAAGCTGGACTTTAATTAAAGTGACCCTTACAATTTATAGCCAAACAGGATTTCTTGATTAAGTGCTCAATTTGAGCTTTAATTGTCTGGCTCACTGTAGAAAAAAAAATCTGGTTTGTAAAATATTCAGTTTCTTTCCCAAGGGAATCTTACATCATCTTTAGCTTAATAAATTATACATAACAAAATTTACCCATTTTAACAAGACTGCACAAGAAAACTTAAGGCATACTACACAGCAGTATAATATTGAAGTGAAATGTTTTTTATGACAGACAAAATCGATAAAAATTGTGTCGGAACAAACATATTCGCAAATCGCACCAGTTTATGGCTATAGAGCCCATAAAAATCTAAAAGCAAGCTCATCTTCTGAAGGTTCAGTGTTTGCTGTCTGCCATTAACAGAAATGTCACTTGACATAACTTTCTCCGACAAAACTTGTAACTGTCAACGGAGAATCAATATAACTATTAATTAGCTTAAAATGACCATTGGTCAGGTGCACCAAAACGAAAAAAAAGATGGCTTTATCATCTTTAGAGAGGGATCTTGAGATACAAGATTTTGGGACTTTTAACATATTTGTATGTAAAACAAGAATTTCAAGCTTATATAAAAACATAATTATTAAGATACTAATGGCTTGGCAAATAAAGCATTAGCAACCATGTAGGTCTGTACGTACAGAATTGTACATATGACAAGACTGTAATACTCACAATGGTGGGCAGCATCCCGGGCACAATTCCCGCTGACGGTAGTAAATTCTGGGCTGCAGCAGCTTGCATTTGTAAATTTTTTAATATTAGGTTATTTCGACCATTCTGTAACAGCTGTTCTCGTAGATGTTGTGGGGGGTGGAGATATTTACAAGGAGGGTCTTTCCTCTGACACTTCCCCTGTGAAAAAAAAAGAAATCAAATCAATTTAATTAGGAAATTCTGATTTGAAAATTCTTTAAAAGCCTATAAATAGCTTCCTTAGATTGACTTTATGATGAAAAACTTCAGAAAAATGACGACGTATATGTCATGATTAAAATAGGCTGCTGAAGCCTTGCAAAAACACCAAGTCAGCAGAGACATCTCAAAATAAATCTGATCACAGAAAATCAAATGAAAATTGCGGTTTCGTAATAATGCTTCAGAGACTGGAGCACTTCCTACACATAATCCATTTTCGTTACTGCAGGAAGCACACTGATTGGGAAACATTTAACTGTTGGAGAAATTTCAACCTAGTCCAGTCCTAGCCTAGCCACAATTATAATGTCTCAACTCTACAAGGGTCTATGCTTGTTATCTTGCTAAATACTGATACAATTCGTGTTCCCGACAAAGCCTCTTGTTTGGCGCCTGGCAAGAAGGCCCATTACCCTGCTGTTCCCTGAATAGTATCTGAGAAGAAAATTGAGATTACCAGAAGTTGGGCACATAAAGGGACCCATTCATGTAATCTGTTTCCTTTTCAGAAAATATCACTATCTAAAGAAGGAAACTGTTTATTATCAACTGCTCTAATCAACTCCAATAGAAAATGCCGCTAATCAGTGGTAGGGAATCAGAAATCCTGAGCAAAAACAATAGATGGAAAGTTTAACTTCTATGGAAAAATGGCAGACCAATAAACAAATGACCATCGAACGGTTGATACACTGCTCCAAAGACTAATGGTTTTCTAGGGAGGGGAAACAAGGAATTAAGACTTTATCAGGCTTTAGATTGTTGGGAACATGTACATACATTTCTAGTGAGTGATTAATTTGACAGAACCTGCAGCCATAAATCACAATGTGATTTATTTCAATGACTTCTTGACATTTATCAACTATAGCTTTATCTTTAATATTTAAGTTTCAAACATTTATCATTAAATGTTAATAATTTATATATTTTGTTTCCCTTAATAAAAATTGATCTAGATGAAGCAAATAGTGATTCTGTTTTTCTGTGTCCATTGACTACCCTTGTATCTACAAGAACAAAGAAAAGGAATGCCTTAATTGTCTATACATGAAGAAGCTGGACTCATCATTAAATGATCATATCATTTTGATACAGGCAAAAAGCACCATAAATAAAACCCAGACCAGTTGATCGCACTCATTTTAATCTGCTTGGCCTTCTGCCAATTGTCTAATTTGATGTGGCTGGGCATTGCAACAAAAACTTTATGAAAAAAAGAGAAAAGTTGGACATTCTGCTTTGGATCGATTTGCAGACCTGGTCTAGACGGGATGTAAATGAAGGAAAAGAAGGAGAATGCCCAATGAACCCTTACTGACAACTTTTATTCCTCAAATCTTCAAGATACAGGCTAGGAGTCGGGACATGAATACCTAAAATCCCGTCCGAGGGAGCTAACCAAATCTAATACATTCATAATTCTGAAACAAGAAACTTGTTTTATTGAAATATATATTCATTTTAGCTATTTTTGCACTCATAAAAATTATGATCACTTTATGAGTAAAGTCATGAAGTGAATTAATATTCTTTACTCTTATAGATATATGTTTGAAATCCTGGGCACTGCACCAAAAAGGATACTAAAATAGTCCCCATGTCTAATCAAGAAGTACAATTTATGTATCAATGTAAATGTCTGGAAATTTTTTTTTTACAAAGTATATATGAAATGATGTAAATAATTTAGATAAATATTTCACAAAAAAAAAAAAAAAAACATTTTATGATGCAAAATTCTCTGCTTACTTTGCTTTCCTAACAATAGCAAGATGGCCTAAAATACATGCTAAATGCATTGACATTACAAAATCATTTGTGTCGAGATATCACTAAATAAATAAGCATCATATTTATTTTCCCCCTTAATAGTAGAAAGCCGGTCTGACAGTTTTCTTGTTTACTTTTAGCTACACTTCAATTGATATATGTTACACAAAGTAGGACTGAAAAAAATTCATGTACAGTTTAACTTCACGATCTCAAACTTGGATCTCTTGAATACAAGTGATTATTAAAGTGATTTGGCAGTCCCAACCACTTTTTTCTATATGTTTTTTAACCTTGTTATCTCGAGTCCTTGGATATCTCTGGTATCTCAAAGTTTAATCTCTGCAGTCCCCTCGAGTTCGAGATAACGAAATTGGACTGCATAATTATATATATATTTAAATATTTAAGGTAATGAAACTGAAATTTACTCAAACTGTATTGTAGTTGGGACTCTGGCCTAGCTCACTTAAAAATATCTTTGGTGTTTAATGCCTTGAGGTTCCCATATTTCTTTAGGTTACACTATTATAGATGATTACAATGTAAGTTGATTTCATTTATATAAGAGCTAGCAGAAAATTACATATCTATTTATTTATTTTTTTTTTTACAATAGTAAATGGCTGAGATTGAGATGTAGAATTTTGACAAACTGATCATCAGATCCATCCATTAGATACCTATATTGTTTATTCAATACATTATCTTAACATAAGAGTAATACTATTTTGTTTGGGTCAAAATTCCTTACCCAATTGACTCATAACGTAATTAAGTTACCTAATTACAAGCTTATGTAACAAGTATCATTAAAGAAGACGGGCACATTATTGTCTGAGGCACATCATTTACCAGCACTTAACAATCAATATATATAGTATCTCTTATGCACGCTGAGAATGAGAGGGGTATCTGCAATAACACAGTTAGATACAGATTTTAATTGCCTTCCCATCTCTGTTCCCCTTCGTGTAAAGTAGATACTCTGATAGTAAAGTAATGGCACCTTCAGACGCTGTTACTCTGAAATCCCTAGACACTTTCCAAAAACTCTGTAGATATTATGTAATTCCCCAGAATGGCCACATATTTCAGTCTGATTGGGGCAATTTATGAAAGCAGGCATAAAAATGTGAAGCTAAACAGCTTTTGACATTTTTACTTGCAGCTGTTTCTTTTTAATTTTTTTTTAAATCCCCAATGAATTTCAAATATGAGTACCTTAGACGTTTTATTACATAATTTTTCTGTTTTTGCTTTCTTTTATTGAAAATTTTATGCTTCTTAATATAACCTGATGTTTTGTTTGGTTTTTGTTTTTTTGGTAAATCCAAAAGTGCATTTTGATAATTTCTCACCCTTTGTTTCAGGAGAGATTGCAGCATAGATCATGATTATTGGCTATTTTCCATAAAATAAAAAAATAAGACATTCTTAAGTTTTATTTCTTACTTGATTATAAGACAATCATGGTAACTCAGTCGGTAGAGCACTCGCTCTGTGATCGATAGGTCTCAAGTTCGAATCTCAGCTGCGACTGACCTAAGTCGATAAAAAATAGGTAGCAACTGTTCCTTCAACAAGCGCTCGGTACTTTGAAGTGAAAGTTGCGGGTCCTTCGGATGAGACCTTAAAAACTGAGGCCTTGTGTCACGGCAGGGGTTGGCACGATAAAGATCCCTCACTGCTCAATGGCCTTGAGTGCCGAGTAAAGGTCTAAATTTGAAGCCCTTCATGGGTATATGGTGATGTCTCTTTATGAGTGAAAAATTCTCAAATGGGATGTAAACCAACATACAATCAATCAATCAATACTTGATTACAATTTTAACCATTACAGTCTGTGATCATATCATCAGGTTTTATTATGACCTCAGTCTGCATCACTGTCAAAAAGGTCTGGAATACAGTGTACCCAACCAGAAAAATCATACTAATAATAGATGGAAAATAACTTGCAGTGGTTAATTATGCAATACTTCTGCTCTGAATACTAGTAAATTTGCAAATTTAAGACAGTTAATAATTTACATGTATATGGTATGTTTAAAAGTCAGCATAAACATTTTTTATGATTTGAAGACATGTTGATTCTTGCATAAATTCAGACATCCAATTTTAGGAGCCAGCTAAAGGAAAAATAAGTGTAAATCTACTCCCTTTCCCTTCCCCTCTCCAATCTTAACTCTAAACAGCTTACATACCACAGCAGAGTGAATGAGCTGAACATCTATTATGGTCAAATGTGTATTATAAAAAAAAAATCTTCAAAACTCTCAGAGGAAATGACACAAAATGTTAACCTCTTAACAAGATTATTTCCGAAAGGCAAACTCTCTGCAGTGTATTTCATGGTAATGCCATACTGCACTTTGTAGTTTTGTCATCAGACTTTGTCCCTAAATTTGATTACGAGGATGAACAGCATTGGGTTAAAAATAATAATAAAAAACATGGTTTACTCTTCTACTGTAAATACCATAGTAGAGGATTATTTACATTGTGTTTTTGCTAGGATAGTATAATTGTCTCAATGCTTGTTTGATATTGCAAGGAAAGTTTTATATATGCTTTAATGTGCTCTTTTGATACTGTTAGGAAATGTTAATGCTTCTCATGCTTTTCTGCAGACTCCTTTGGAATTTATATAAATAAATGCTTCTACTTTTATGCCTATCTGAGAAATCTATGAATGCTTTTAAATCTATGTTCTTTTGGAATATTTAGAGATGTTCAGACTTCTATGCTCTTGTGAAATTTCTAGTAATGCTTTTACTTCTATGTTTACTTCTTTTCTAGATTTCTAGTAAAGTTTACATGCTTCTATGCTCTTTTGCCATTAGCATTGTTTAGCTTAACCTTCCACGGTTTTGCTGGGAAACTTTCATATTAACTTTCTGGGTATAAATTTACATCTTATTGCTGTGTGACAATCACTTCTTTGACATATCTATAGCAGTAAAGAACACTGGAATATAAACATTTAATAAACTATAATCATAGGTCAACAACTTTTAAATGAAGAAGGCTGAAAGCATTTTTTCCACTTCAATATGAAAAATTCTTATCAAATATGATCCTGTCATTGCAGCATCTGAATATGCCACAATTTACCAACAGCAACTGCTTCTGCAGGGTTATCTTCCTTTCCATCAAGATAA